CTACTGCTATAGTACACTGGTAGGCAGGGCTGGTCCATGACGTGGCTACAGAGCCCTGGGGGGAGGAACTGGCCCTGGCTCAGCTCAGGTTTTTTGCTTTTTGCTAATGCATTCTGTGCTCTGTTCAGAAAAAGTCTTTCAGTACCCAATCTTGTGGATATGTTGGATATATTCTCTTATATTCTTTTCTAGAAGCTTTATTGTTTATATTTTATATTTACATATGTAAGGCACTTGGTATTGATTTTTGTATGTATTATAAGTTAGGAGACAAGTTTTATTATTTTTCATATATATATATCCAGGTTAACCTAGTAGTACTTACTGAAAAGACCTCCCTGTCTATATAGTACTGCAGTGCCCTCTGAGCATAAATTGTCTATGTACACATGAATAATTTTCATTGATTTGGTCTATCCTTGGACAAATACCATACTATCTTAATTACTATATAAAGCTACAGTCAACTAGAACCAGTCTTCTTCTTCTTCTTGAACACCGTCTTAGCTATTATTGTTCTTTTGGAATTTTCTACAAATTTTACATTTAGCTTTTCACAAACACACACATACATTCCCTCTCTGTGTCTCTCACACACACATACACACACACACATACATACATACACACACACACACACGCAGAGAACTTGAGATTTTGATTGGTAATTCATGGAATCTATAGATCAGTTTGAGAAAAATTTATATCTTTATAATATTGAGTCTTCGATCAATAAACATGATATATCTATTTATTTATTTAACCTTCATTTACTACACTCAAAAAAGTTTTATAGATTTTCATGTAGAGATCTTACACATCTTTATTTCTAGATATTTGATATTTTTAGTGCTATTGCAAATGGTGTATATTTTTTAATTTCATGTCTTAAATGTTTGTTACTGCTATAAGCATATCTGATTATTTTTGAAGATTGACTCTGTACCATAGTAAACTAACATTAATTTTAGTAATTTATTCCATATTCTCTTAGATTTTCTACATACATATTCATATCATCTCTAACCCATAACTTTTTTCACTCTTTCCAATTTTTTAGTATTTTTTCTTTCTTTGTATTTATTGTTTTTGCTTATTGTACTACACTGTTTAGTAGCTACAATTAAATGTTGAATAGAAGTGGTGACAACTTGTAGCCTTTAAGATAGTCTTTAAAAATGCTTATTTTGTTAGTAAGTATGAACATTTGCTGGAGGCTTCCTGAAAATACTCTTGTGAGACTAAGTGTGTTTTTTTTATTTCTAGTTTGCTGGAGAATTTCTAGGTTTTCAATTTTTTTATGACTGGATGTTGAATTTTATCTGTGCCTTTTCTGTTTCAACCAAGATGATTATAGGACTTTTTTCCTTTATAGTGCTAATTTAGTGAATTTTAATGATTTATTTTTAAATGCCAAACCAACCCTTGCTTTCATATAATAAACCCAGCATGCTTATTTATTTATTTTTTGCAATTTTCAGTTTACTAATTTATGTAAGTCTTTTTTTTAATCTACTATCATATGAAAGACTGGCCATTAATTTTCCTTTCCTGGAATGACATTTTCAGATTTTGTTATCAAAGTTGTGCCTTCTTTATAAAATGTATGGAATGATGTCTTGCTTTTTTCTAACCTCAGAAAGAGTTTGTGTAAAATTATACTTAATTATTGATAAAACATCTGGTAGGTTTTTTCCCAGAAAGCCCACTGGTCTTGAATTTTTTGGTGGGTAAGTTTTAATTGTGGATTCAAAGTCTTTAATACTTATAAGATCATTAAAATTTTCTATTTCTTTTGCTGGCAATTTTTCTACGAATTTGTCATGTCATCTCAATTTTCAAATTAATTGGCATAGAACTGTACATAAGATCCTCCTCTTTTATCCTTCTAATATCTGAAACATCTGTAACAATATGCCCTTTTAACTCCTATTATTGTATTTTTTTGTGCCTTTACTTATTTTCTTGATCAGTCTCGAGAGCTTTTTATAGGTATTTTCAAAGGCCCAAACTTCTGTTGGATCAACATTCTCTATTTTATTTTTTATCTAGTTTACTGATTTTTGCTCTTATATTTATTATATCCTTCCTTCTATGTTCTTTGGGTTTAGCTTGCCAGGTGTTTTTTAACTTCTTGAAATTGATGAATAGCTCATTGATTTTCAGACTTCTTATATAAGTTATGAATTTCCCTTTAAACACAAATTTAGCTACATCCTATCAGCTATCAAAACTTGTGAAATTTTGATATGGAGTATTTTTATTTTCATCAACTTAAAAAGACTTTTTATTTCTCTTGTGATTTTTCTTTGACCCATGGCCCTAATAGAATTGTAATTGTTGATTTCCAAGCATATGAGGATTTTCTGGTTTTCTTAGTCCCACCCCCATTTGGCAAGCCCTGGGCCTTAATTTTTATAGCCACCTGACTTTGAAGGCTTTCAAAACATTGCTCAACATCTTAGTTTCTTATCTTCCTGTTGTTAAATTGGCATTTATCCCTCAGGAAAAAGCAGTCCTAAATACCAGTCGCATTTCTGAGTTATCTTCTTCAGGATCTTGATCTTCTAGTTTCTTACTGCTCTCAAATGCATTATATGTTCATTTTTTCTAGTTGCCATCAGTGGGAGGATTGTCTTGAATTACCAGAATTAGAAGTCAAGATTCCCTTTACTTTTAATATTTGATTTCTAAGTGCAGATATCAAATAAAATGTCATTTTATTTGGACTCCACAAGAATATTTGAATTCCCCAAGTTTCAGGCTTTATGCCACAGATGAAGAAAGCTCAGCAAGTATTCTTTCTTGTGGGTGATAACAACTCTAACCAAGGGTAAAGACTTCATGGACACAAACCTTCAATTAGCCGTTTCAGTCATGAATTTACTGTTCTACTTTTGTTATATTTATTAACATCTTTCAGTCTTTAGCTATCATCTTGTTCATATTTTATTTTTTTTTTCAATTAATCATTTTGTCTAGGAAGTCCCCATTTGGTTTAAAAATGAATATTTTATTGTACTTTCATCTTTTAAAAGCTGAGTGAATATTTCCTTTGCTTTGAAGAAGAAAATATCCAAAATGCATTATAACTGCTTTTGAAAAAACGTGTTCCAGATATCAGAGGTTAGCCTATTCTGAGTATATTACATCAGGAAAATAGCTCAGGTCATACCCAAAGGGTATGTTTGTACTACACTGAAAGTTTAGAAATATTGCATAGTGAGAATTAGTGGTTGGCATAAAAATCTGCCTGATATGATAATTAATTGAATCCTGTTAAGCCATTCACATATTGATGTACCTAGGCAAATGTAGTATTATATCTCTTTAATTTATTTTTACTCTTAGCGTAAACCTAATTTATTTTAAAAGGATTATTGACTCCATACAAAACATATATTCATTTAACAAATATTTACCCACCTAAAAGGGGGCAGGAACTGTATCTGTGTTAGAAACTAGACAATAAGGAAGAGGAAAAAAACAAAAATATATAAAATATATGATAAATTATGATTTTTAAAAAATACAGTGACTGAAAGAATGAGGTCGTGAGAAATTATTTTAGATAGAATGGAAATACGTATTTGTGAGGAAGTATCATCTGAGGAGAAACTTAAAAAAATTAAAGGGAAGGTCATTTTTAAATTAAAGAGCAGAGAATTCCAGGCATAAAAATTGCAAGTACAAAGACCCTAGGACAGAAATCAGCGTAACTCCATGCAAGAAATTGCAAGAAGGCCATTGAGAGGGTGGAAAAATGCAAGTCAGGAAATTGATGTGAGATCAGTTCATGTAGGACCTGATAGGCCTTGGTAGAGATTTGGGGTTGCTTTGTTTTTCTCTGAGAGTGACAGGAGTCCATTGGAAGTTTTGATCAGAGGAATATCACGATTTCATTTTCATTTTCAAAGAGCACCATCGAGATAGACTTAGGAGTGGTAGTGCATAGAATGTAAACAAGTAAACCATTTAAGTGGTTTAGTAGTACAGTCAAAAGAAGATGTGACAGCACTGGAAGTGAGGAGATGAGGTAGGATTTGGTATGTGAGTTGAAGATAAAGGTGACAGGACTTGCTACCAGATGGGATGTTGGAAAGTTTCTAAGTATTTGGTCTGAGAAATAGAGTGAAGAGTGGTGCTATTCCCTGAAATAGTGTAGACTGGGGTGTTCATTCAAGAGTGAAAATAAAACGTTCTGATTCAGATGTGATAAATTTCAGATGCCCATTAAATTCCAAGTGGAAATTATGTAGGTATTTATCTGTAGCTCTCTAGAGAGAGTAAAGCTTGAAATATAAATCTGAGAGTCATCAAAGTATACTGTAGATAATATTCAACATCAGGGGACTTGAGATTAGCTGCGGTTGGAAAGCGGACAGAACAGAAACAGTTTAGAGACTGAGCCCAAGGACACACCAACATTTAGAAGATGGAGAAGAAGATTCTACAACAAGATTACAAAAGAGTGGTGAGTCAGTTAGGAGTAGATCAAAACACATGTGATGATGCTGAAACCAATAGTCATATGTGTTCTCCCAAGATTATTAATAACCTATGATTCTAGGGAATTTAACAAAAAATAATCTTTTAATATTATTTATTAAACTAGAAATCTGAAAAGTTATGTTAAATATAAGCATAACAGTATTAATATCTCCTAACTAGTAAATAGTCAAGCCCTTGGATATAAAGTGTATATCTGAGGTTGTAATAAGAGGGTAATTCTAGGGTTGAAGAACAAGCTGGAAGAAATATCATTTAAACATGTTATACTAAATATTTATCATGCTTCTGTTTGACTGAGTCTCACATAATCTCATAAACCAGATTCAAATATGAAGTGATGAACGTAAGCAAAATACAGAGATCCATGCTGATGTTATGTGAAAGATTTCTCATTACTTAAAATTTAACTTGCTCTTGAATGTGTATGACTTCAGATTCTAAATAAAGACTTGTTGATGTTCTTTTATTCTCTTTGCCTCTTTCCACAGGTGGGGAAGTCCCATACACAACTCTGGCTACCCGAATGATGATGGGGGCTTGGTGGCTATTTGCTTTGATTGTCATCTCATCTTACACAGCAAACCTTGCTGCTTTCCTCACTATCACCCGCATTGAAAGCTCCATCCAGTAAGTAGACAAAGATTCCACTTGATACAAAGCATGAGAAATGACAGGCGTGGCCAAAGCTATGTGATGTCTGTTAATATATTTACAACTTCCTTTTGAGTAAAGGCTTAATTTTGTGATGTGCAGACATCACAACATAGTCCAACTCCTGAAAGTACAGTTTTGGTACAGCATTCTTTATACAGTAAAATTCTGGGTATAATTTGGACATTGCTTCCCACATTTTCCTGGAAGGATAACACATATTCAGAATTTTAACCTCTGTAAAATATGACTGTGGGCAATATTATTAAAAAGAAGGAAAAGGATACATACTAAAATATACATATTTCAAGTTTGAGATGCTCAGTCTTTGCCTTGAGTCTGTCCCATTATGCACTGTCTGAGTAAATAGTTAGGTAGACACTGGATGATTGATAGATAGGTGATAGGTAGGGAGAAGGAGAGAGAGAGAGAGAGAGAGAATGAGAATAGCTTTCAAGAGGTAAAACCACATTCTGTCTCTTCATTGCATTATAGCTAACGTGAGTATTATTGCTCCTGTTTTTCCAGCTGCAGTGGTGGTAAATTGCCGTTAACTATACTGTACTTTTGAATCCTGAAAGCTACCTAAGTCAGTGCTTCATTTCACAAATGACTTTCCCATGAGCCCTGAGACTCCAAAGGCCTTTGATTTACCGTGGCCAGTTTTTCTTTATGTGGTTTCATACCATAAGGTCAGGTCAGTGCCACAGTACAGCTTCTGCCTTATTAGAACATAGTGTTCTGTATATTGTTTTACGAAAAATTTCTCTGAAAATTTTATTAATCCAAAATCAAGGTAGTTTGAACTTTCGTAAAGTTAAAAAACATTTATTTCTCAACAAAGTTGACAGTTCAAGATTAGAATAATTAACTTTGTCGAGGAATTAATTAGGGATTTACTTCATCCTTAAGAGAAAACTTGAATTCTTCTTGCCTTTAAAATAGTATGTAAATGAATTCCATTAGTAGTTGCAAAATTATTATAGCACAATACTAAAATAAAGTCAAGAATTAATGATCTAAAAAGAAATAGGGTATTTTCTTCAACTGCTTGTGTATATAAATTGAAACCTCAAAATTCAGCTACTAATAGTCAATTATTTCATTCATTTATGAAAATGATGTTCCCGACTTCTCTCATCAGTCTTAAGTTGTTTTCCCAGTTATTTCTTTGGTGCAGAACCTTCATATCCTTTTAACTTACTACCCTTGTAGCCAGTTCTACATGTGGCATAAGTTATAAGTGATCCAGAGTGAAGCTCATGGAAAATTTAAGCTCATGACCCCATCAGAGTCCTATTTTAAGCAATAATGAAAATGATTACAATGTCCGAGCCCAAGAAATCAATGAATTAGTAAAATTGTGCAAATAATAATTAACATTTATTGAGCACTCACAAGATGCCAAACTTTGTACTAGATGTTTGATGTGCATTGGCTTATTTAATACTTACAACCATCTTCTGGAATGCATACTACTTACTAATAACCCATTTTACAACTGAAGTTGAAAAGATAAGTAACTTGCCTCAAATCATGCAGCTAATAAGTGATTGATTAAAGACCAGACCTTAAATCTGTCTCATTCCTGAATCTATGTTCTAACTATGCCACACTAGTCCCCATTCCACACCCTTGTACATTTGTATGGCTAGTTGCTTTTTAGGGAACTTTATAAAGGATGTGTCATAGCCTCATTCATTGCTAAGTATAGTGATGTAAAGGATGACATTATTCAAATCCTCAATTTGTCTGAGGAAATAAAGTATCAAAAGTTAGGAGATTTTTGTGTTGGGTCGATTCTCTAGGCGTATATCCCAGCATGAGCTAATTATGTCTATAATTGATACCTGCCACTCAGGGTAAGACTGCTTGCCAGACCAGTCAATGGAAATCACATTAAGAAAAATAGTTTTAAAAAATTAAAATGGAGCATTTTAATCTTACTAATATACTTCTGGTCAACTTTGTTTCACATGTTATATTTTAAGAGTACTTAAAGTACATAGGTTTTTACTATGTAGCTCAGATCTGACTTTGAAACATTTTAAAATAAATGAATGAAGAACATTTTAAATAACTGATTTTATGTAGCATGTGACAATCATAAATAATAAAAATTATGGATATTATTCACTGAGAATTTATTATGAATTTATCAAGCATATATATATATATATATATCCCCTTTATTACTCAAAATTACCCTAATAATACAACTACTACTATGATTCCTACTTTGTAGATCAAGAAACAGAAATTTGGAAGTTAACTGCTCACTAGCACACAGTGAATAGTGTCAGAGCTGGAAATCTAACCTACATCAATCCAATACCAATTCATGACTTTACCTACTGAAGTTTCTCTTTATCTTACAATTTGTGTCTTGCTGGTTCTTAAAATTTGTTTGCTTGAGCCGCCCTTTCACTGAGGTCGCAGGCCTCATGGTGTGTGTATATCTGAGCTATTTAGTCATTACAACTTTGCCAGCATTCGTTAGTATCTAGACTTTCATGCAGTAGCAGTGGGAGCAAAAGCCTCTATCACATTTTTACACCCATAGGATTTTCTAAAGTAAAGTCTAATGGAAAAAGATCCTAATTGCACATGATGTTTCCCTCAGGTGTAGCTTTCCACAATCCAAAATAACTGAACATTCATTTTTTTAACAAATTATTTCTTTCTAATGCCAACTCACATTATTAAAAGTCAACTTTGGGTATAATGAATCTCCCCTTCCTTCTAATCTTTTCACTAGGTTAATTATGAAAGGGGAAAATCAGAGCCAAATAAGTTAAAAGAGACCTGATTCTCTCCCCAAACTTAAAGGTAGCTTCTAATTTCATGCTTCAGCTGTGTTGGTAAACATAATTGTAATGTTTCTTGGAAACATTCAAAGTTCCATTTATAACTAATGTCAAACTTTCTTGGAAAATTCTAAGTCTGATTTTTCTTAGAAAAGCAAAAACTTTTTTCACAAAACCATGCACTGTCATTCTTCTTAATCATTCACATTCATGAGATTTGCTTATCGTTAAATGAAGCAGTGCTCATCAGGGTACCTTTTCCCAGCCCAATTGCTGTTCCATTAACAAACATCTACCATCCACATCTCTATTCCCAAAATTCAAAGTCACTTCTGCACACCAGGAGAGGCAGAGGTAGCTAGCTGGTAACCACAAATCTGATCTCTTTTCCTCTGAGTCTGTTTCTTGGCTACTGTAAATAATGCTTCAGTGAACATAGGGGTGCATAATCTTTTCAATTCAAAAGAACATAATCTTTTCAAATTAGTATTTGCACTTTATTTGGATAAATACCCAGGAGTGGAATTTGTGGATCGTACTCTAGTTCTGGTTTAAATTGCTTGAGGAACCTCCATACGGTTTTCCATAGTGGCTGCACCAATGCACAGGGTTTCCTTTTCTCCACCTTCTCACCAACGCTTATTACTTGTTGCCTTTTTGATAATAGACATTCTGACAGGTGCGAGGTGGTAGCTCATTGTGGTTTTGATTTGCATTTCCTGGTGATTAGTGGTGTTGAGCATCTTTTCATGTGCCTGTTGGCCATCTGTATGTTAAATGTCTGTAATTTATACAGACATTTGGAAAAAAATGTCTATTCAGATCCTCTGACCATTTTTAATCTGGTTGTTTGTTTTTTTAATGTCAAGTTGTATGAGTTCTTTTTATATTTTGGATATTAACCCCTGATCGGGTATATCATTTGCAAATATCTTCCCCCATTCAGTAGGTGGCCTTTTCATCTTGTTGATAGTTTCCTTCACTGTGCAAAAGCTTTTTAGTTTGATGTAGTCCCATTTGTTTATTTTTGCTAATCCATGTATAACTTTTGACTCTCCCAAAACTTAACTAATAATAGCCTACGGCTGACTTGAAACCTTACCAGCAACATAAACTGTTAATTAACATGTATTTTGTGTGTTATATGTATTATATACTTATTTTTACAATAAAATAAGCTAGACAAAAGAAAATATTATTAAAAAATCAGAAGGAAAACTATTTATGGTACATATATGATTTTAATGAAAAAAAGATGAATAAGTGGACCCTCACAGTTCAAACCCACGTTGTTCAAGGGTCAACTGTAGATATTTAAACACTGTGCTAGGCATTTAGTCTATAAATGTATTTAGGTATTATCCCTGAGTCACAATTTATTCGGGGAGATAACAGTGTAGAACTCAATGACATAGGGCTCTGATAAATTATTTATAAAATGCTGTATGAACACAGGGAAGGAGTGATTTAAGTCAATAACTTGGAGAGAAGGGGAGGAGAGAGGAAAAAAAACTATTAGACATCACAGAGGTTCTCTGATGTATCATCGGAGAGTTTGATCTTAAAGGATAAATTTCAACATACTGAAGAAGTGGCTTATAGCAGAGGTATGAAACTCCTAGGAGAATATCTAGCAAAGGGTAGGTTATCAAAATGTGTTCATCTACTTCATGGATTGAGATAGGTGATGTGAGGGTGACAGGAAGTGAAATAGAAAAGGAGGGTAGGACCACATCTTGAAGGGCATGATAAAGCTTGTTACGGAATTTGGAGTTTTTCCTGGAGATAATGAAGAGTGACATCATTTAAGAAAGACAGCTTTATCTGTGGAGAGGAAGATAGGCCAGAGAGAAAAATGGAGGAGCATATGGAAACTCATTGCAGGTATCTAATAAACATATTTATGGCGTTTAACAGTATGTCTCTACTTGATATAAACCTGATCACATATCTTCTTGTTTCATGGGCTCCTTATGTGGAACTATCTAAGGATTAAGGGTAATTTAAGAGAAATCTGGCTTGAGAAACTTTATATCTCTAGGCTAACATTTACATTTCTTGTGAATGTAGGAGTATTGCGTCAGTTTATTTTTTTTAACATATTTTAAAAAAGGATGTGGTTTACTACCTCTTAGTTAAATAGATAGGGATGAAGAGAGTTACTGATGT